TCTATTACTCATTTCTAATTTACTTTCTTTATAGTCACAGAATGTGTTCTGTATGATTTCAGTATTTCTAGATTTGTTAAATTTTGTTTTATGGTTCAGAAATTGGTCTCATCTTGATGAGTGTTCCCAAAGTACTTCAGAATGAATTTAAATGTTGTTGGGTAGAATCCCCGTTAGGTCAAATTGAGTGTTTGGCTGGTTAATGTGTTTTATAACTTGACTGATTTTTTTGGGTCTACTTGTTCTGTTAGAGAGGAATGTTGAGATCTCCAACTGTAATTGTAGATTACTTCTGTTCAGTTCTGTCCATTTTGTTTCATCTATTTTGAAGCTCTATTTTAGGTGCATATATATTTAGAATTGTTAAGTCTTCTTGAGGAGGTGACCCATTTATTATTCTGTCCCTCTTTATCCTTAATATATTTCTTGTTCTGAAGTCTGCTTTATCTGATGTTAATATAGAAACTGAGCTTTCTTTTGATTACTGTTTACATAGTATATCTTTCTTTTCATATAATGATGTCCTTTATTTTGTTTTTGTGTTTATATTTAAAGTGGCTTTCATATAAACAGCATATAGTTGAGTCTTGTTTTTTTAAAAGTCCATTTTGATAATCTCTTATCAGGGGCCTTTCATTTGGAGTGTTTAGTCCTTATATTTATTGCAATGACCTACAAAGTTTGGTTTAAATCTACCAGCTGGCTGTTTGCCTTCAATTTGTCCCATTTGTTCTTTCTTTTTTTCCCATCTATTCTTTCTTCCTTTTTCTTTTCTTCTTTTTTTTAGATTTATTTGAGAGAGCGAGAATGAGAGAGAGAGAGTACATGAGAGGGGGAGGGTTAGAGGGAGAAGCAGTCTCCTCGCCGAGCAGGGAGCCCGATGCGGGACTCAATCCAGGGACTCCAGGATCATGACCTGAGCCAAAGGCAGTCGCTTAACCAACTGAGCCACCTAGGCGCTCCCTTTTTCTTTTCATAACCATTTTTGGATTAAGTATATTTTAGGATTTCCTGCTATCTTGACTATTGGCTTGTCAGCTATATTCTCTGGTTTATTTATTTTTTTAAAGATTTATTTATTTATTTGAGAGAGACAGAGAGAGACACAGCGAGAGAGGGAACACAAGCAGGGGGAGTGGGAGAGGGAGAAGCAGGCTTCCCGCCGAGCAGGGAGCCCGATGCGGGGCTCGATCCCAGGACCCTGGGATCATGACCTGAGCCGAAGGCAGACGCTTAATGACTGAGCCACCCAGGCGCCCTCTCTGCTTTATTCTTTAGGTGTTGACCTAGGATTTAAAAATACAATTTCAACATAATACAGTATACCTTCAACAAATATAACACTTCATAGATACTATAAGACCCTTAAAACAGAAAATTTCCAATTTCCCCATTTCCATTATTTGTGCTATTGTTATTACTGATTTTATTTCTATGTAAGTTGTAAGCCCCACAATGCACTTAAAATATTTTTTGAGAGATAAAAGAAATGGAAAAGAAGTGTAATAGTTACCCAGATTTTTTTTCTATTCCTGGTGCTCCTTATTCCTTGGTATAGATCCAAATTTTTATCTGATACTATTTTGCCTGAAGAACTTCCTTTGACATTTCTTGTAATGCAGTTCTCCTGGTGACTATTTTTTTGGCTTTAATTTAAAAAATTCCTTATTTCACTTTTATTTTTGAAGTTTTCACTAGCTATAGAATTGTAGGCTGATGTTTTTTTTTTTTCCTTTCACCACTTCAAAGACATTTATTTTCTTATGGCTTGCAAAATTTCTGATGAGAAGCTGGCTGCCATTCTTATATTTGTTTTTCTGTATGTAGTATGTCTTTTTTTCTCTGGCTGATTTTATAATTTTTATTCAGCAATTTTATGGGATCTGTATGTATGTTTAGTGTTCTGCTTGGGCTTCTCTGATTTTCTTCAATCTGTAGGGTTATAATGTTAATCCAGCTTGGAAAAATTTTAGCTGTTTTTTTCTTCAGATATTTTTTTCTGTCCCCTTCTCCCCTTAAATTTTTTTTTTTTTTCCTCCTTGGGACTCCAACTTACACATACTTTAGACTACTTGATAGTGTCCCACAGGTCTGTTGATTGGTTTGTTTTAGTCTCTTTTTCTCTAGTGCTTCAGTTTGTATAGTTTTTATTGCTGCTGTCTTCAGACTTACTGATCTGTCCTGCTGCAGTGTCTGCCTGCTCTTACTCCCATATTTTTTCACTTTAGATACTGAATTTTTCATTTCTAGAAATTCCATTTGCAACTTTTTGGTATCATTTTTCTTGTGTTCCTGTTCCTTTACATTCTTGAACATATAATAGCTGTTTTTAAGGTCATTACCTGCTAATCTCATGGTCTCATTTCTGTATCATTTTTTTTTTTCTTTTCTGGTTATGGTCCCATTTTCTTGCTTCGCACAGCTGGTAATTTTGGATTCGAAGCTGGACGTTATGTGAGTTTTATGTTTTCAGGTACTTAATTTTTTTCCTTTAAAAGAGTGTTGGGCTCTGACCTGACACAAAGTGAAATTATTGTGGACCTTAAGGCTTGGTTTTATGGTCCAGAGGAGCCTCTAATCTAGACCTAATTTAAGATGTATTATTAAGACATGATCTTTCTTAGGACTCTACCCAATGCTCTGTGTATTCTGAAGTTGTTGCACTCTGGATCTTGGGCACATGAACTATTCCCTCTCTGAGTTCAAGAATTGTGTGGTCTGTTGGTTTCTGGTCATGAAGAGTTTTGCCTTTCATGTATGCAGGTTAGGGTCAGACTGCAGGAGATGCTTCCACAGATCTAAGGAGCTTGGTCTGAGCAGCTCCCTTTTCTCCAGGACTCTGTCCAGTAGGTTCTAGCTTAGCTTTCTGGACTCTGACCACTAGACTCTGGATTGTCTCCCTGCCCTTTGGCCTGGTAGCTGCTCCTAGGCAATAAGCTGGGGCAACTGGTGCTCCCCTCACTTGTTTCCCTTACCCCAACACTGTCTGTTGTCCTATGCCCATAAGGATTTGTTTCATGTATATTGTTTCTCTAGTTTTTTGTGGTGTAAGGGAAACTCTTATAGCTACTACTCCTTCATGCGTGGCAGTGGAAATCTTTTAGAAATCACTTGTGAGAGCCTGTGAATCTTCTAGTTTTGACAGTTCTCACATTGGCTTGTTGAGGTTTCTGTTCTGAATGGATGAATACTTGGTCATTCTTGGGTTACTTGGCTCATAGGACCATAAAAGCTCCCCTCTTTCTTGCCTATGCTGCTCCTACACAGGTATTATAGATATGGTTTGGCCCTAATCCTCCACGTTCTAGGGTTTGAGGGACTACCTTAATGTCTAGGGGTTTCATGTCCTATCCCAGTTGCTTTGTTTTTGTGAAAGGATTAAAAAACATTGTGGTTGCTACTGCTCTCTTACCCTAACTCTAAATTACCTTTACACTTGTAGCACTTGGGCTTGTCAAATGCCCTTTAAGATTGACACATGGTATTTCCACTTGATTAGCCTATTTAGTGGTAACAAATTTGAGGGATCTCACTCCAGGAATGGCTAACGTGTTACCACTCTAAGCATAAACTATAAAGGGTTTACCTTAATATTCATTTACCTCCAGATTACCCTAACTGATCTTGGTGGTGTGAGCTACCAACAGCATATGGCCAGGAGCCCACTAACCTATCACCAACCCACTGTGTGACACAGGATTAGTTGCTTCTCATTATTTGTTGAGGGTAGCAGGCACCATCAGGAAGACCAGGCCTGTTCTTGGGGGAGCACAGAGCTTGTTAGGGAAGGTAGACATGTGAAGAGCTAACCAGAACTAAAGGTAGTAGTTGTCCACTGAGAAGTGTATGCAAAGGTGCCTTTGTGGGTGTTTTCTCATCCAAATAAATGGACAGAAGCACTGTCCAAGCTAAGCTAGAACCTACTGGACAGAGTAAGAAAGTTCCCATACTGTTCTCCAAAGGCCTGGATTGTGCAGAACAGTGTGGGAGGCCGAGAGGCAGGGCTCTGGCCTCTCTAGCCTTACTTCAAGGATAGTCATTCCACCTTTTCCCATTTTATGCATTATGATCTAATATTTATTTTAAAACGGGTTTTACTGCTGAAAAATGAAGGATGAGGAGCAGGTAGAAGAACTGGGGTCCACATTCCCTTGTGCACATAACCTGCTGAAGTGAGTGGTCTGACCTTTTGCAAAGCTAAGTGCGCTCACATAAAGGTCTGCTGTGAGCACTACCCCAGATTATAGTTGAGGAGCCTCCACACACCCCCTTCCGAGTTCTGCCTTTGACAGCAGCCACTCTGGAGTTGAGCCAGATCAGGACTCAAATAGTGGCTTTACCACTTGGCAGTGGACAACCCTGGGCAGGTCTTCTCTCTTCTTACTGGTAAATCGGGGACACACACCTGCACCAGTCTGTTGTGTTCCCCAATGTGCAGGGTCTCTAGTGCAGTGCCGGCTTCAACAGGCCTCAGTAACTGGCGGCTGCTGATTCAGGTGAGGGTCCCAGGGCCTCTGCTAAGCGGTGATACTTGGTTCAGCCTTGAGCAGGACCAGAACCATGGTCTCCAGCACAGGCCCCGCCCTCACTGACCGGGTCCATAACATGAATAAAGCATGCCCACTTTCTGGGCCAGTCTCTTGCTATTTGGTTAATACTGCCTTCCATTGGCATGACATTTTATGGGTCACCCACGTGCAGTAGTTCATCTGAGTCTTCTCTGTAAAGCAGACTTTTATTCCCATTCTCCAGAAGAGGATGTGTGCTCAGAGGATACAAGCCCTGTCACCGAAGTCCACATCTGGCATCCCTTTCTCGTCCCTCTGTATGGCCCCTTCAGTATAACTGGAATCATGGGCATGTTACAGGCACAGACCAAATTTTTGTGTGTCGGGGGGAGGGGGGGCGCTAAGGGACCTGGGTCTTGGCGAACGTTGTTCTAGTACACTGATCTTGCAATGAGAATGAAAATAAGAGAGGGGTTAGGGTAATGCAGGAAGAATTATAAGCAATATGAATTTATTTTTTTGGAAACAAAATCCCCCAAATAATGCCTGAACCCAAAGGGTACATAAAAATGGCCAAAAATATTTTAAAATAATAGATTTGAAGATCATTTGTAGCTTTTTTCCTCATAACATGAATGCTTTCAGCAGGACAGTAAATTACAAACCATATCAAATCATGTTAAGGCAGATGATCAATCTGGTTGCATTTGTAATACTCCTGGGAAAGTAATCGTGTTGGAGCTGTTCCTCCCAGCTATTTGGTCAGTTGGTCCAGGAAAGGGCAGTCCTGGAGTCAGCAGGTGGGGCGCTGGGCCTTGCCTGTCTTGTCACTGCTCGTTCTGCTGGCCCTCTGTGACGGAGGCAGACACGGAACCCTGGCCCTTGTTGACATCACTGATGCACACCCACTGCCCATCAACCGATTCCTTCCACAGGGTCACCTGCAAGCCAGCACACGGAGCCTGTCACAGGTCTGCACCCCTCACCTTCTCAGGTCCCCCATCAGGCCATGACTAGGCTTGTGAGTCAACAAAAATCCCCACAGATTAAGAAAGAAGGGGTAGGGAGAGTGACCTCACCAAGATGGTGACAAAGGCTGTTCCTGACTTAGGCTCCCCCCACAGGAAGAACTATTCATGAACAAGAAACCACTGAGGGAATCCTAGAAGAGCACAGTGAGGCTGAAGCACCTCCCTCCACCACCGAGACCAAGATACTGTACCAGAAGGCTAAGTGGGAAGGCTACGTGCTGACTGCATGGCCCCCCACCCAGGTTGGCATAACACCATGTGCAACCTATGGTTCCTCCAGAAGGAAAAGAGCACAGGGGTGACATCCAGCATTGTAAGTTGTCGCTTTGTGGGGCTCAATTACTGGGAATCTGAGTGTGACTAAGTGGGGAGGGCTTCTAGGGACTGGCACTGGAATATTAACAGACAGACAGAAAAGCTGTCACAGCCCCCCCTTCCTGCTGCAGTTCCTGGCCCTTGCTGCCTCACATCCAGAAAGCTTGTTCAGAAAAATCTGGGAGGCCCCTGAAGTTGGGCTGCCCAGGTAGCAGACCTGAGTCCTAGCCCAAACAGCTGAAGAGCATGGCCCCCAGGCCCATCAGACAGCAAGGGCTCACTACAACACCTGGAAGTTGCATGACCCTGCAACTCTAGCAGAAAGGGGGGTGGACAGAGCTGGAGGCCCCCCACAGCAAAAGCCAATGGCCTTATTTCACCAGGAAACTTAGGGACAGGTTGGCTTGAGTCAAGACCACAAAAAAAATATGACTGGCCTTACAGTTGCTTTTCCCATTGTGCCAGGGCAGGAAAACTACTTTTTATCTAAGCAGAACATGCAGGAAGCTGTAGAGCCCATCCTACAGCCCTGCTTACAGTGGCACCAGAATAGAGCACACAGTGCGTGGCTTCCCGTCTACACAGCAAAACTAGTGGCCTCATCTAACTAGGACAGTCAGTCTTCACTCTTGCCTAATTTGCATCTCCAAACAACAGTCTGGGAAGACTCACAGAGAGGCCAGTCCTGACTGTATAGAAAGCCTAACCAGAGAATCCAGGCAACAGTGAAGTCCATCCTCTAGGCTCACATGAGGATCACAGAAAACCAGGTAAATATAACACCAAAGGAAATTAAAGCTCTGACTAAATGAAGATCTATGAACTGTGGGACAAAGAATTCAGAACAATCCTCTTCAGTTTAGTGAACTACAAGCACATATAGACAACTAAATGAAATTAAGTTCAACTAAAATAGACACCATTAAAAAACCAAAAAAACAAAAAACCACCAGAAACTAACTGAAAAATGTAGCAGAGCTTCAAAAGCAGAGTTGACCATGTAGAAGAACTAATCAGCAACCTGGAGGACAGGACATTGGAAATTACCCAGAGGAACAAAACAGAAAAATACTAAAGACTGCAATGGGACATAATGAAAAGAAGCAGTATTTGCATTAGGGGAATTCCAGAAGATGAGAAAGGGACATAGAGTATATTTCAAGCAATGATGCCTGAAAACTTCCCAAGCTTGGGGAGAGAAATAGACCTCTAGATCCAGGAGGCTCTAAACAGGCTAAACCCAAACAAGGCTATAAAAAGATGTTGTAATTGTCAAAAGTCCAAGAATTTTAAAAGCAGCTAGAGAAAAAAGTTAGATACAAGGGAACCCCCATAAGACTATGAGCAGATTTCTCCATAGAAGCTTTTCAGGCCAGAAGAAAATGGGATGACACATTCAAAATACTGAAAGAAAAAAAACCTGTTAACCAAGAATACTACAGCAGGCAAAAGTGTCCTTCAGAAATGAAGAGGAGATGGACTTTCTTGAATAAACAAAAGCTGAAGGAACTCATCACAGCTACACCTGCCTTACAAGAAATGCTAAAGGGAGTTCTTTGAGTAGAAATAAAAGGTTGCTTATTAACATTATATAAGGCAGCATAAAACTCACTGGTAATGATAATACATAGTTAAAGTTGGATTCTGTAATATGACAGTGGTGTGTAATTCACTTATAATTCCTTTACAAGTTAAAACATGTAGTAAAAAATAATCATACCTACTGTTATTAGTTATACATTATAAAATATGTAAATTGTAACATCACTAACCTAAAATGTAAGGGTGAGGAAAAGTAAAAGTGTAAAGATTAGGAATTCTACTGAAGTTAAGATGTTTTATGTAAGTCTTATAGCCACAAGGGAAAAGCCTGTAGTAATCAGACAAAAGAACATGACAAGTCAAAGCATACTGATACTATTAGAAATCAAAACACAAAAAAAGAATAAGAAACAACAATGGATCAACAAAACAGAAAGCAATGATAAAATAGCAATTATGTAAGGCCTTAACTTATTAATTACTTCAAATGTAAATGGATTAAAGTCTCCAATCAAGACAACAAATGGCTGAATGAATACAAAAACCAAGATCCAACACTATGCTTCACACAAGAGATTCATTTAGCCTTCAAGACAGAGACTAAGAAAGGATAGGAAAAGATATTTCAAGCAAATGGTAATCACAAGGAAAGCAGGGGTAGCTATAAACTTATATCACACAAAATAGACTTTAAAAATAGTAAAGAGAGACAAAAGGGGCCGTGCACCTGGGAGGCTCAGTCGGTTAAGTGTCTCAGGTCATGATCCCGGAGTTCTGGGATCGAGTCCCGCATCGGGCTCCCTGCTCAGCGGGGCGTCTGCTTCTCCCTCTGCCCTTCACCCTACTTGTGCTCTCTCTCAAAAATAAATAAAATCTTAAAAAAAAAAAAGAGAAAGGCATCAACATATCAAGAAGATATAACAGTTCTAACTACAAATAAAAAACTAACAACTAAACAGAGAAAGCGTAATACAAAAATAGTTGGGGACTTGAATACTCTCAGCAATGGATGGATCATCCAGACAGATAATAAGGAAACAGTGGATTTGAACAACAGTATAGACCAAATGGGCCTAACATATGCAGAACCTTCTGATAGCAGAATATACATTAAGTGCATATGAAACATTTTCTATATGTTACACCCAAAACAAGTCTTAGCAAATTAAACACTGAAATCAAACCAAGTATCTTCTCTAACCATAATGGTATGAAACTAGAAATCAATAGGAAGAGGAAACTAAGAAATTCACAAATACACGCAAATTAAATACTCTCTTGAACAACCAATGGATCAAAGAAGAAATGAAATAAATTATTTTGAAACAAAAATAGAAACCCAATATACCAAAACTTACAGGATGCAGCAAAAGCAGTTCTTAAAGGGAAGTTTATAGCAGTAAATGCCTACATTAAGAAGCAAGACCTATCCCAAATAAATAACCTAATCCTATGCCTTAAGGAATTAGAAAAAGAACAAACCACCCAAAGCTAGCAGAAGGAAGGAAATAAATATCACAGCAGAAATAAATGAAACAGAGAACAGGAAAATAGAAAAGATTAATTAAGAGTTGGCTCTTTGACAAGATAAAACTGACACAACTTTAGCTAAATTAACCAAAGAAAAAAGAGTACCCAAAACAAAATTATAAATGAAAAAGGAGACATTCCAAATGATAATCACAGCAATAAAGTAAGATGTTACCACGAAACAACTGTGTCAACAAACTGGACCTAGAAAAAATGAACAAATTTTCAGAAACCTAGAACATCAATCACCAAGTACTGAATCAGGAAGAAAAAATCTGAATAAAAAATTAAAAAATTTTCTGAAATAGAATGAACCAATAATCAAAAATCTCCTAGTGTAAAAAAGCCCAGGACCAGATGGCTTCACTGGTGAATTTAACAAACATTTAAGGAATTAATATCAAGCCTCAAAATCTTCCAAAAAAATAAAAAAGAAACACACCCACACACTCATTATATGAGGCTAACATTGCCCCGATACCAAAGCCAGAAAAGGATACTACCAGAACAGAAAACTATGGACAAATAACTCTGATGAATATAGATGCAAACTGAATTTGACAGTATATTTAAAGGATCACTTGACATGATCAATCAGGATCATGGAATGCAAGGATCATTCAATATATGCGAATCAGTCAATGTGATACCTCACAATAGAATGAAAGAAGAATCCTATCACTCAGTAGATGCAGAGAAAGCATTTGACAACATATAACATCTGTTTGTGGTAACTCCTAAAGGCATATATGCTAAGCCCACAGCTAATATAATACTTTTCAACACAGTACTGGAAGTCCTTGCCAGAGCAGTCAGGCAAGAAAAAAAAAAAGACATCAGAACTGGTAAGGAAAAACTAAAATGTCTCTATTTTATATGTCAAGATTTTATATACAGAAAATCCTAAAGATTTCATCAAAAAACTTAGATCTAAATAATGAATTCATTAAAGTTGCAGGACACAAAATTAACATACAAAAATCAGTAGTGTTTCTATACACTAAGAACAAATTATCTAAAAAAAATGATCCTTACAATAGCATCAAAAATGATAAAATACTTATGAATGAACTTAACCAAAGAGGTGAAAGATCTCTACTCTGAAAACTACAAGACAGGGATGAAAGAAACTGAAGGCACAAATAAATGGAAAGGTATCTTGTTCATAGATTAGAAGAACCAACATTGTTAAAATGTCAATACTACGAAAAGCCATCTATAGATTCAGTGCAATTCCTATCAAGATTCCAATGGCATTTTTTACAAAAGTAGAAAAAAAAGCATCCTAACATTTATATGGAACTACGAAAGACCTCAAATGTCCAAAGCAACCCTGAGAAAGAACAAAGTGGGAGGCATCATACTTTTTGATTTTAAGCTACAAAGCTATAGTAATCAAAACAGTATGGTACTGGTATGAGAACAAATAGATAAATGGAACAGAATCAAAAGCCCAGAAATAAGCCCAAGCATATATGGTTAACTAATAACTGGCAAGGGAGCCAAGAATACTCAATGGAGAAAGGACAGTCTCTTTAATAAATGGTGGTGGATAAACTGGATATTCGCATGTAAAAGAATAAAACTAGACCCTTATACCACTCACAAAAATTAACTTGAAATAGATTAAAACTTAAATATAAGACCTGAAACCATAAAACTCCTAGGAGAAAATGTAAGAAACAAGCTCTTTGGCATGGGTATTGGCAATGATTTTTTGGATGTTGACACCTAAAACATAAGCAACAAAGTATAAACAAGTGGGACAGCATTAAACTAAAAAGTTTCTGCACAGCAAAACAATCAACAATGTGAAAAGACAACCTACAGACTGGGAATAAGTATTTGCAAGTCATACATCAGATAAGGAGTTAATATCCAAATATCAAAAGAATTCCTAAAACTCAATACCAGAAAGCCAAATAATCGAATTAGAAAATGGGCAAAAGACCTGAATAGAACATTTCTCCAAAAAAGATCTACAAAGGCCAGCAGGTACATGAAAAGGTGCTCAACATAACTCATCACTGGGGAAATGCAAATCGAAATCACAGTAAGATAGCACCTCACACATTAGAATGGCTATCATCAAAAAGACAAAAACATAAGTACTGGCAAGGATGTGGGGAAAAGAGAACCCTTGCTCACGCTTGGTGGGATTGTAAACTGGTACAGCTGCTATGGAAAACAGTACGGAGGATCCTCAACAAAATTAAAAATAGAACTATATGGTCCAGCAGTTTGACTTCTGGGTATTTATCTGAAGAAAATGAAAACACTATCTTGAAAAGTATCTGCACTCCAATTCACTGTAGCATTATTTACAATAGCCAAGACATGGAAACAACCTAAGTGTCTACTGACAGATGAATGGATAAAGAAGTCATGGTACATATATATATACAATAGAGTATTATTCAGCCATAAAAAAGTAAGGAAATTCTGTCATTTGTGACAATGTGGGTGGACTTTGAGGGCATTATGATAAGTGAAAGAAAGACTAACACTGTATGATCTCACTTATATATGTTGAATCTAAAAACAAACCTAAAAACACCCATAAAAGACCCAAAACCAGTCACAGAAGAGTTCAGATTTGTGGTTACCAGAGTTGGGAGTTGAGGGTCAAAAAGTATACACTTGCAGTTGTAAGACATAGAAGTACTAGGGATGTAATGATGACCATAGTCACACTGTCTCTGTGAAAACTGTGAGAGACTAAATGGTCTATGTGAAAACTGTGGTCTATGTGCAAACTGTTAAGGGACTAAATCCCAAGTGTTCTCATCACAAGGAAAAGCTTTTCTTTTTCCCTTTTTCTTTATTGTATCTATATGAAATGATGGATGCTACACTTACTGTGCTGATCACAGTACATGTAAGTCAAACCATTATGCTATACACTTTAAACTTTTGATGTAGGTCTATTATATTTCAATAAAACTGGAAAAAGAACACCTCAAAAAATAAGAAAAACAGAGAGGGGGGCAATGCTGTGAATAATAATGCTATAACATGAAATGACAGTAATAGTTGTAATACTACTACTACTACTACTACTACTACTAGATAACAACAATGGATGTTGTTTTAACCAAGTTGCTGTAGCTTCTGTGAGGTGATACAGGGGAAGAGAACAGTGGTTCTCAAAGCATGGTCTCTAGACCAGGGCATCTGCAGCGACCAGGAGCTTGGGAAAACTGCAAATTCTTGGGTCCTCGCCCAGACGCACTGACTGAGAAGCTCTGGGGGTGGGCTTGGCAATACATGTCTTAACAAGTTTAGTACTAAAGTCTGAGAAGTGTGCTAGAGGCAGATGACAGATGAGTAAGTATGTTATTTCTACACTGAAGTAAACAGCAGAAGAAACAGCTAAGCATTGAAAAGGTTTGTTCCTGGAGAATGAAAATTAGGAGAAAGCATTAAAAAATCATAACCTAATAAAAACTACCTCAAGCTATGTACATGTATTTGATAAAAAAAAATGATTTTAAGAATTCCTGCTTTAGAGACAGACTATCTACTACACATGCACTGTGCAGAATGCTCTAGACTGAGAACATACTAAGTCCTGTAGTGAAGGAATACTATGCAGACAGCAATAGAGTTGAGCTGTTTGTAGGAAACAGGCTGATAAAGAGGATGATAAAGAAGAATAAGAAGCATAAAAGAATAATGACAGCAGACTACAAAAGTGGAATGTCCAACCAGGCACTTGCCTACTGCCTTGTAAACACTATGGTGGGGCTCCTCAGTCAAGTCAGGGTCTGTTGGCCTGTCCTGGGTGCCACCAAACCTGGGGTCTAGTCCTGTCTCTGGCATTTACTAGAGATAAAGAGGATTAGATTAGTTTTCTTTAGGGTCATTCCAGCTCTAAAATTCTATAGCTTTGAGATGGGGCCTACTAGATCTTTCTGGGACTACTATGCATGAAAGGGACCCCTGGCTGGATAAAAACTACAGAGGGTCTCAAAGAGGTATTATTTATAAACCCATGGGCACAGCATTACTGACAACACCCAAAGGTGGAAGCACCCCAGTGTCCATCAATGTATGTGTGGATAGATAAAATGTGGTAGAACAGAGTATTATTCAATCTTAAAAAGGCAAGAAATGGACACATGGTACAACACAGATGAGGACACTACAGGATTCCACTTACACTGAGTCCCTAGAGCAGTCAAATTCACAAAGACGGGAAGTGGGACAGTGCTCAGGGCTGGGGGGCTGGGGTGAGTAGGAGTTAGTGTTCAGTGAGGAGGGAGTTTCATCTGGGAAAGAGGAAAACAGTTCCAGAGGTGCATGGTGGTGACGGTTGCCCAATAATGTGAATGTACTCAACTACTGAACTGTACACTTAAAAATGGTTTAGATGGGTGAACTATGTACTCTGTCATGATTAAAAAAGAAAGCTGCCTCCAGAAAGGAAGAAGTAATAAGCCACTGCCATCTCCCTAGCTGACCTCTTCTCTCAGGCAGAGGATCCATAACTTTATATGGTGGGTTTCAGTGCAGTAGTCAGGATTTTTCAAGTGCATTCGCTTTGTTGCTATATTGTTCTGAGCTACTCTTTGTCTCCATGTCCCTTCCTTTGTACGGCTCACAGCACAGTAGGAAGAGGTATAGTGGGTAATAATAACACCCATGAATTATACTGATTTTTAGAAATATGCCTCTTAGGTGTCTGACAAAAACCTTCCAATCTTTTTGCTTTTGTGTGAGATTTTTTTTTTTAAATCTGTAACATTTTAAGCAGTGCTAATTGAATGTCACCATGAAGAGAAGGTGGTCAAATGGTTAAGGCAACAGACTACCAGGGCAGTCAGTGTCTTTAGAGTTAACTCAAGCCTGATTACTGACTCTGCCACCTAAGAGCTTTGTGACCCTATGCAAGCCTAACTACCACTGTCAGCTTCTTTCATATTTGTAAAGGGGGGAAAAACAACCTCGGGGCGGGGGGTGGGGGGTTGTAAGATTTAGTGATATAATTAAGAGATGTGCTCAAAACACAGTCCTCATTAAGGCTCCTTCCAAGCCTGTCATCACATGGAGAATCCAACTGCACTTTCCAGTGGGCACATGAAAGACAAACAGGACCCTGTCCACCATGTCATGGAAATGGAGTGTACCTTATTGTCTCCGCCTGAGACAGCCAGGATGTTGGCTGTGATGGACCAGCTCACATGCCACACAACATCACTGAACTTGTGCAATAGTTTGGGTGACCATGTATTGCCTGAGGTGTCATCACAAGTCCAGATGAACACACGACCATCCTGGGAAAAGACAGGCTAGAATCAGGGAAGGCAAGGCAGGGATCTTGAACTGGGGATATCCTCTCGATCTATAGGCATATTGGACTTCGGCAGGAATGGGGTGGGGGATTCAGCACAACGCATAGCCGAGGCCTTCCTGGGTGTGGATACCTGTGACGGCCGATTTCCAACCCAGCATTATCCCTTTACCCCACGAACACATTTCACATTGGTTCAGTCTCCCAGGTTCTCGTGCTCATATTGGTTTCAGGTATGGACTTTACATTGCTAACTCTAAAATTTTCTCTGGGTTTTCCTCATGTCTGCCAAGTTACTTCCTTGTTTTGGCTCCCTCTGGCTCTAATTTTCTCAACCGAATGGGTATGGCTGTCTGTAAACCAAGCTAGAGAATGAGAAGGGACAAGTTGAAAAAGTCCATCTCAAATTCAGGACCAAACATAACAGGCTCAAATGAAGCCTGGCTAACCTTTGTCTATGGTGGGGTTAGCATATAATTTAAAGGGTTGTCCTTAGTCTTTCCTTTGTAATCTGTCTGTGAAGACTGAAAAGGTAGGTGAGTCCAAGATCCTAGAACTTCCGACTGCCCCTGGTCCCTGCTCGGGAATGCTTTCAGAATATACCTGGGCAGCTCTAATCCCCAGCTGCACAATGCTGAGGAGGGGACACTGGTCCGGGGTTTGGCCTAGCTCATGGCTCGGTGGAAGCCAGCCACTTGTGCCTTCTGATCAAGCCTTTGCCATAGCATGACCTGGCTCCAAGCACTCTCCTACTTGCACTGGTCCAAAGGTGCCTGTTGCCCTGCCCTTACCTTTTCAGACTTTACCTTAGGGGGACCGGAAGGTTTGATGGGACTTACTCAGAGATTAAACAACACGGGAGGCTCTCATGGATCTGAGCTGACCTGGGAGCAACTGGCGATGGTGCTGGTGGGCAGGCCAATGGAGGGGGCCCAGGCCACATCTCGAACCCAGTCACTGTGCGCTTCTAGCTTCTGTTCCTCCTTCCACTGGCCGTCCTCCTCCTCCCTAACGGGACATGAGAGGGAGAATGCAGCAGCAGGTAGCAGCCCAGGTGTGTTTCCTACGCCTCCATTGTACCCCCACCCTGTGGGCTCTGCAGGGGCCAAGAAGCTATTCCATCTTTCTGATTTCATTCGTTGACCTTGTAGATTTTTACTCAGTTCACCAGCTATAAAGGAATCCTCCAAGAAATGTTCCCCCACAGCCAACGGCTCCGGCAGTTGGGAAGTAGGTAAAGAATTAAAGTCCTTGAGGAAGGCCAAGTTGTTTTTAAAGGATGTCCTCTGACAGATTGAAAACAGTATTCTATGGGCAGGAGGGCAAAAGAAGGTGATCCTGTTTCTTGGGAACTGTGGCTGAGTCACAGTAGGTAGGAGGGTAGAAGGTAAGAAGTGTCCCCTTGAGGGTAAGTCCACCAACCCCACTTACTTCCACAGTTTGATGAGGTTGTCACAGCCGCCCGATGCAAACTTCTTGATGTAGTTGGGCTTCTGCCCCGATGGCTGGTCTATGAGGCTTCCAGGTACAACAGCAGGGGCCCAACTGACAGCATTGCAGCCAATCTGTAAAGAGGGGGATTGGGATGACTGCCCTTTTGCCTTGCAACAGAGCACTGCTTCTGCAGACCCAAAGCTGCAGTGTATTTCCCCTCCAATTCTCAGGACAGGATTATGTAGGACAGCTGTTTTGATGAATTAGGGATTAGCCCCCATAATGCTCCTTCAAGGAGTCCTAACAGTGCATGTATTTTTTAGCAATACATATTTAAAGTAGGAGTTAGGGACTCCCAGGAATTTAAGAACATTTTAAAAAATATGAAGAGAGGCACAGATTCAGAAAAACAAGCAAAGTTTAACGAGTTACTCTAAAGCACTCTTGTAACCACTACCAGTTCAAGATATCAAACTGCCATTTACCCAAGAAGCCCTGTCATTATGTCTCACCTGAATCATAGCCCTTCCTCCTCGGTAATATCTTCCTGACTTCTGATTTCTTCCTTTTTTTTCTCTTTAGTTTTGTCACCCAAATATGCATCCCTAGATACTATAGTTTAGTCTTGCCATAAACGTTTTTCTTTTCTTTTTTTTTTTAATCTTTTCTAGATCTCCTTATTTATAGATTCCCCTTCTGATCTTTTTTTTCCTTACAATGTTTTTGTTGAAGAAAGACCAGTCATCTGACCTACAGACTCTCAGGCTGATTTGCTATTTCATACTCAGACCTCTGAATTCTTCTGAATTCCTGAAAATTGTCAGCTGGATCCCAGACTGGATCAGACTCAAGTCTGACCCCTTTGTTAAGACTACAGGCAGTATTCTTTCACTGGGAGGCAAATGATGTCAGGTTGTCTTTTTATGTTCTTATGCCTCTTTTATTTTTATTTATTTATTTATTTTTTAAAGATTTTTATTTATTTGCAAGAGAGAGAATGAGAGACAGAGAGCATGAGAGGGAGGAGGGTCAGAGGGAGAAGCAGACTCCCTGCTGAGCAGGGAGCCTGATGTGGGACTCGATCCTAGGACTCCAGGATCATGACCTGAGCCGAAGGCAGTCGCTTAACCAACTGAGCCACCCAGGCGCCCCTTATGCCTCTTTTAATTCACTGGACATTACAAAATGGTGATTCTGTATTCATTTCTTTGTTATGTATTATATAGAATAATCTAGACAGGAGCAATTCCCTTCATTAATATTTGGCTCCCTATGGATACAGGTCAGATAGGAAAGGCAGGATAAATGCTTCACACTTTATGAACTGGTTCCCTGCCATTCTTTAAGGATGACTGAGGGGCGCCTGGGTGGCTCAGTCGTTAAGCGTCTGCCTTTGGCTCAGGTCATGATCCCAGGGTCCTGGGATCGAGCCCCGCGTCGGGCTCCCTGCTTGGTGGGCAGCCTGCTTCTCCCTCTCCCACTCCCCCTGCTTGTGTTCCCTCGCTCACTGTGTCTCTCTCTGTCAAATATATAAATAAAATCTTTAAAAAAAAAAAAAAAAGGATGACCGATTCTCTTATTTTTTTATTTCTCAAAAGATTGTACTTATTTGAGAGAGAGAGAGAGAGAGCACAAGCTGGGGTAGGGGCAAGGGAAAAGGGAGGAGCAGGCTCCCCACTGAGCAGGAAGCCCGATGTGGGACTTGATCCCAGGATCCTGGGATCATGACCTGAACCAAAGGCAGATGCTTAACCGACTGACCCACCCAGGTGCCCCTGATTCTCTTTTATATATCATTATGAACTCATGGATTTAAGTGTATTTGTTGGATTTCAGTTCACTGCAATTATTTTCATTTTTCTGACACCTAAATTGCGGTGTGTGTTCAAATTGGCTCCTTTGATAACCCTGGTATGTCCAAGTATGTTTTTGATCATTTCTGTTGGGTATGACAAAATGTTCCAGGCTCATCTTGTATGTATCCCGCCTCAAACCTAAGATCAGCCACTTCCTCAAGAATTAGGGTTTCTTTTAGTGAGAAATTGTATTTCAAGACTATAATCTGGTGCTAGGGATGCCCACTGCCACATAGTTATTTCATCTCCTTTCACACTCAATGGTCTCAGTCACTGCCAATATAGTAAGTAAAAACATTTTATTTATTATTTATTTTATTTATTTTTTAAAAGATTTTATTTATTTATTTGACAGAGAGAGAGACAGCGAGAGAGGGAACACAAGCAGGGGGAGTGGGGGAGGGAGAAGCAGGCTTCCCACAGAGCAGGGAGCCCAATGCGGGGCTCAATCCCAGGACCCTGGGATCATGACCTGAGCCGAAGGCAGATGCTTGACTGAGCCACCCAGGCGCCCCTAAGTAAAAACATTTAAAAAAGTGTTTGCAGTGTACTCCCCATTCTCTTCTACAGGTGTTTTTTTGGGGGAAGGGCAGGGGTTTGTTTTATGTGCATGGTTACTAACATCAAAAGATCCTATATCTCCAGCTCTGCTTGTGCCCACTTTTTTTTTTCTTAAAAGATTTTATTTATTTATTTATTTATTTATTTATTTATTTATTTATTGAGAGAGAGAGAGAGCGAGCATGCGAGTGGGGCGAGGGGGCAAGGGAGAAAAAGAGCCTCAAACAGACTCTGCTGAGCACAGAGCCTGATGCAGGACTCGATCTCACCACCCTGAGATCATGGCCTGAGCTGAAATCAAGGGTCTGATGCTTAACAAATGAGCCACCCAGTGCCCTGTGCCCACTTTTTAAACAGTTGTCTGCTACCTTAAAAGAGCATATGGCCAGTACATCCTATACTCTGCCTTGTAACTCTCATTTAGTCTTAGTTCTCTACAATTAAACTATATTTGATATCTTTCTAGTCATTTTTGTTGTCTGAAGCTTATTCTCTAGTAGATACCCCAGGAAGGGCTAATGGAAACAACAGTCCTTGAGTTCTTTCATAGCAATAACAGTCTGCGTTCTTTCTACTCCAAAATAAAATTCTAAGAACAGCTTTGAGGTATTACTGACATTCACTGCTCATAAACTGCACAATCTGATGAGCTCTGACACAGGTAAACCCTGTGAAACTACCACTGCAATCACGGTAACAAACATGTCAAAGTGCTAAAAGAAAAAAACTTCCAACAAAAGGTACTCTACCCAGGAAGTTACTCAGAATTGAAGGAGAGAGCTTTCCAGACAAGGAAACGCAAATGGAACTCATGACCACTAAGCTTGCCTTATAAGAAAAGTTAAAGGGTTGTCTTTAAGTTGAAAAGAAAGGGTGCTTATTAGTAACAAGAAAACATATGGAAGTAGAAAACTCACCAGTTAAGGTAAATATATACTAAAGATACTGGATTAATCACATGTAAAGCTAGTATGAAGGTTAAAAGACAAAAGTGGTAAAAACAACTACAATTACAATAATCAGTTAAGAGATACACATGATATAAAGACGCAAAATTTGACTTCAGAACGTAAAATGTGGGTGGACAGTAAAAATGCATTCATGCATAAGTTCTTATCAACTTCAAATAAACTGTTATAAATGTTATAAATAAATGTAAGCCTCATGGTCACCATAGAGCAAAAACCTATAGTAGATACACAAAAGATGAGAAAGGAATCTAAGCATACCACTAAAGAATGTCATCAAACCACAAAAAGAGTAAGAAAGGAACAGAAAGGAACTACAAAGCAGCCAGAGAACAAAAATGGCAATAGGTACATACCTATCAATAATTATTTTAAATGTAAATGGTCTAAATGCTCCAATCAAAAGACAAAGGATGACTGGATGAAAAAACAAGATCCATCTATATGCTGCCTAGAAGAGATTCACTTCACACCTAAAGACACATAAAGACAAACTGAAGGAACTGGAATAAGATATTCCATGCAAATGGAGGGAAGAAATTTAAAAAAAAGCTGGGGTAGCAGTGCTTAGGTCAGAGTAGACTTTTTTATTTTTTAATTTTTATTTATTTATTTGACAGAGACACAGCGAGAGAGGGAACACAAGCAGGGGGAGTGGGAGAGGGAGAAGCAGGCTTCCCGCCGAGCAGGGAGCCCGATGCGGGGCTCGATCCCAGGACCCTGGGATCATGACTTGAGCTGATGGCAGACGCTTAACGACTGAGCCACCCAGGCGCCCCGAGTAGATTTTTTTTTTAAAAGCTCCATGCCCGTGGGGCTTGAACTCATGACCCTGAGATCAAGACCTGAGCTGATCAAGAGTTGGATGCTTAACCGACTGAGCCACCCAGGCACCCTGAGAATAGACTTTAAAACAAAGACTGTAACAAGAGATGAAGGGTATTACATCATGACAAAGGGATTAATTTTAAAAAGTTGAAAAAATATAAAGACACGGAGACTAAACAACATGCTACTAAACATCCAACTGGTCAATGAAGAAATTAAAGAAAAAAGAAAAAAGATACCTGGAGAAAAATGAAAATGGAAACACAATGGTTCACAATCTCTGGGATGCAGCAAGAGGAATTATTATTTTTTTAAAGATTTTATTTATTTATTATTTGGGGTAGTGGGAGAGGGAGAAGCAGGCTTCCCGCTGAGCAGGGAGCCTGATGCAGGGCTCGATCCCAGAACCCTGGGATAATGACCTGAGCCGAAGGTAGATGCTTAATGACTGAGCCACCCAGGTGCCCCAGCAAAAGGAATTCTAAGAGGAGAATCAATTGTGATACAGGTCTACCTCGAGAAACAAGAAAAATCTCAATCTAACCTTACACCTAAAGGAACTAGAAAAAGAACAAACAAAGCCCAAAGGTAGTAGAAGGAAGGAAATAATAAAAATCAGAAAGGAAATAAATAAAACAGAGACAAACAACAGAAAAGATCAGTGAAAGAGCTGTTTCTTCCAAAAGATAAAAAAAAAAATTGATAAACCTTTGGCCAGACTCATCAAGACAGGACTCAAAATCAGAAATGAAAAAGGAAAAATTACAACCTATACTACAGAAATACACAGGATTATGAGACTACTATGAAAAGTTATATGCCAACAAACTGAACCACCTAGAAGAAATGAATAAATTCCTAGAAATATACAATGTTCCAAGACTGAATGAAGAAGAAACAAAATCTGAACACTTACTA